CCCTACATCTTTATATTATAAATTTATGACATTTTGGAAAAAATGTTGGCCTACTTTTTTTAAACAATGTTGCTTTAATTTAGTAATATTTTGAGAAGGGCGTCTCTGCAGTGACTAAGTCGGAGTTTCTTGTTTTGTGGGAGGAGTTTGTCCAAGACATGATTGGTCTGTTTGACTTTTGTGGGCATAGTTTGTTAAAGACGTGATTGGTTGGATTTCGGTGGGGTTTGAAGAAGCTGGGGCTTCTTGTGACAGGAAGGTGCCAGCTGCACAAAATTTGAAGTCAGTAAATCGTATTTACACGGTCACAAAAAAGTTTCTATCACCATCCCTTTTTCTTTTAAGTTGCCCCACAAACCAAGTCAATCCGACCAATTACAGTTAAGACAGACTCCGCCCACACAAAGAATTCCGCCAATCACAGTTAGGACAAACTCCACCCACCCAACTGAGGACTTCTTACTGCGCAGCTCTTTTAATTCTATTTCCATCTGTTTGAGATCTGCAAAATTAATATTGCCATATTTTAGCATAAAAAAGTAATTTTTAGCTGACTCTGAGATTGTAAGGTGTCCAGATCTTGCTTTGCAAAAACAAACCCAAATCATCATCTTGCCACCACCCTGCCTGAATGTTGCTTTTCTCCAAATTTACTGATGTTTTAAGTTTTACACAATTTTTAATTATCTTACAAATTGGAGCAAAAACTAGAAGCTTTATCCCAGGAAATACTTTGAACAGTAATAGTTTGAAAGATTCTTCTGTGTTTTGGATAAAGGTGTCCCCATCATTAAACGACACAACATTTTATGTACTTGACATCTACAAGTTGTTTTTTTATCCACTTTCAATCAGCTCTCCACATGTCTTTATTGACTGTTATACCTGCAGAGCTCCAAACAGCATCATCTCCTCCTCTGTGCAGTCGATGTCCTCCAGCAGGATGGCCCAGCGGGCCTGCTCATAAATCTGGGTCAGACGCACCATATCATACTGCAGAGATTGACAGCAGCATGGAGGATGGATTAAAAGGAGATAAACGTGTTGATAAACATCCTGGACACAGACATTCACACACACCTTGGGATCTAGCTCATAGAAGGAATAATACTTGAAACGAAGCCAGAGTCGGTCGTTTTCTTGGATGCCCTGTTGCATGAGACAACGTGAAGAGTCCAACCACCTGAGAAGGAGAGAAACACAATATGTGATCATGTGTTTGGAGAAAATACTCACTAAATAACTGAATAAATGTCAATACTGCGTATTGTCTTTTAAATGGAATTGTTCAAAAGATAAAACCACCTGAACTTGTATTAGACAAAGCGGAAAAGGCAATAAAAGACAAAGAAAATGAAATTTTCTGTCAAAAATCATCAAATGCATCCATTTGATCTGAAAGTACAGCATTTTAGTGTACATTACAGATTATTAAAGCTTTTGCTTTTATTTCTTTGATTCCAGAGACCATAGTTGCTTTCTTTTAATTTCTATTAAAGAGGCAGTATTATGTATTGTCCACACACATAGTTCAGATCTTTATCACAATAAGGTTAGGTTTGAGGTGCAGTATGTACTGTATATACACTCACCGGCCACTTTATTAGGTACACCACGCTAGTAACGGGTTGGACCCCCTTTTGCCTTCAGAACTGCCTCAATTCTTCGTGGCATAGATTCAACAAGGTSCTGGAAGCATTCCTCAGAGATTTTGGTCCATATTGACATGATGGCATCACACAGTTGTTGCAGATTTGTCGGCTGCACATCCATGATGCGAATCTCCCGTTCCACCACATCCCAAAGATGCTCTATTGGATTGAGATCTGGTGACTGTGGAGGCCATTTGAGTACAGTGAACTCATTGTCATGTTCAAGAAACCAGTCTGAGATGATTCCAGCTTTATGACATGGCGCATTATCCTGCTGAAAGTAGCCATCAGATGTTGGGTACATTGTGGTCATAAAGGGATGGACATGGTCAGCAACAATACTCAGGTAGGCTGTGGCGTTGCAACGATGCTCAATTGGTACCAAGGGGCCCAAAGAGTGCCAAGAAAAGATTCCCCACACCATGACACCACCACCACCAGCCTGAACCGTTGATACAAGGCAGGATGGATCCATGCTTTCATGTTGTTGACGCCAAATTCTGACCCTACCATCCGAATGTCGCAGCAGAAATCGAGACTCATCAGACCAGGCAACGTTTTTCCAATCTTCTCTTGTCCAATTTCGATGAGCTTGTGCAAATTGTAGCCTCAGTTTCCTGTTCTTAGCTGAAAGGAGAGGCACCCGGTGTGGTCTTCTGCTGCTGAAGCCCATCTGCCTCAAAGTTCGACATGTTGTGTGTTCAGAGATGCTCTTCTGCCTACCTCGGTTGTAACTGGTGGTTATTTGAGTCACTGTTGCCTTTCTATCAGCTCGAACCAGTCTGCCCATTCTCCTCTGACCTCTGGCATCAACAAGGCATTTCCGCCCACAGGACTGCYGCTCACTGGATGTTTTTTCTGTTTTGGACCATTCTCTGTAAACCCTAGAGATGGTTGTGCATGAAAATCTCAGTAGATCAGCAGTTTCTGAAATACTCAGACCAGCCCTTCTGGCACCAACAACCATGCCACGTTCAAAGGCACTCAAATCACCTTTCTTCCCCATWCTGATGCTCGGTTTGAACTGCAGGAGATTGTCTTGACCATGTCTACATGCCTAAATGCACTGAGTTRCCGCCATGTGATTGGCTGATTAGAAATTAAGTGTTAACGAGCAGTTGGACAGGTGTACCTAATAAAGTGGCCAGTGAGTGTATATCAAAAAATAAATCTAAATGCCTTGAAATTGGCCTCTGTCTCTTTAAGAACCTTCTACTATTTCAGACACTCCCACTTCAGCAGGTCTTTACAACAACAAGTTTTTTTGTTTGTTTGTTTGTTTGTTTGTTTAGCGGATTAGCCCCACTAAATTTGAAAACCAATTCATTTCTGGTAAATTAGGTTTTGCCAACTTCAAGTCCGCTAACAGCCAACTGACAAACTTACATCAACATGTTGTCATAGCAGTTAGCTGTTAGTATTAGCATTTGCATCTACGAATGTCTTTACATGTGTGCCATTTTACATGTTTCAGGTGTGTGTGCAGGATTCATACCTGCCGTTGATGTGAGCCTTGTCCACCACGCTGGCTGGGCGATACTGTTTGGCGATGACCTCGGGGGCGGGAGGAGGCTGAGCTAAGGACAGCATCTTGTAGATGGCCTCCATTTTGTCTGAGTCAGCAAAGTGAGCCGGCATGCCGTTGTAAATGCAGGGCTGGGACACTGCAAAGGAAGTTCGAGTTATATGATGACATTTTCTACCAAGATTTCAACTCAGGACTGCGTGGGTTTACGACTAGGAAATAGAATTTTTGCTCAAGTCCATAAACAAAATGTGATGATGAGTGTACCCGAGGAAAGGGGCACCTCGGTCAGGTCGTAGATCTCCTCCATCAAATCTTTATCCTTTTTCTTCTTCTTCTCCTCCACGGGGCGAAGGAGGGAGAGCTCCTCAGGGTGACGGATGTCTGAGGAGGTAACAGGGAAGAAAGTGATCAAATGTGCAATCAACTGATCAATCAGTCAATATAACCAGTGATATTGGAAGTGAAATGAGTTCAACCTCTGGATTAAAGACAACATTTCAGCAGGTTGTGTTCAAATCACATCAAGGTCTTTTTTTTTCTTTTTTTTTTCTTCTTTTTTTTAGTAAAGGACTAAAGAAACAAAGCTCTTCTTTAGATCCTCTCATATTCCAAAAATAAAATAATCCAGTAGTATATTGGTCATATGGGAAGATGGAAGAACAGTCATGTTTGTAGAGTTCAATTAAATATTAAATCTTCTGTTTGTCATATGAATACTGTTGTGTTTTAGTGGAAATATGTCCTTTAGACTGCTGGTCTTTAAAAAAGAAAGTCATTCAGAATACATATTTCAGTTTACAGGTGATTGAGTCTGTTACTGTAGGAACACTGACATGTGACTCTGTGACACAACAGTAGCATGTCTGACTCCAGATCAGAAGGTTGTGTGTTTAACTCACATCAGGGTCATGGGAATGTTTCATGTGTACAGACAAACATTGTGAATTGAAAGTTTTATCCTTTTTAAATTATTCTCTGAAAGTCAAGTCATAAAAAAATCATTCTCGTGCTTCTTTACTGATTTATAGATTGATAAAAACTATCTTGATGTTAAACTGTCTGATGTTTTTCCAGTCAATATTACATTTTCCTAAAGCCCAAACTAACTTATGCAAAGATTAAATTTATGTAAGTAATAAGTGCCACAAATTTTGCATCTAAATAAGTCAGTTGAGTTTGTTTGGATACGTCCCACTAGGAAGCCCCCAGGAAAGACCCAGGACTCGCTGTAGAGATTATGTATCCTCTCTGGCCTGAGAACACTTTGGGGTCCCCCAGGATGAGCTGGAAAGTGTCGCTGGGGAGAGTTAGGTCTGGGTTTCTCTCCTGGACCTGTGGCCTCCACTACGATTACGTAAGTGTCAGAAGATAAAGATTGGCACAAATTTTCATTTTGCACAAAAGAAACAAAATGAAGCAGGTTTAATATGGAGCGGTCCTGTGTAACAGAAACAAAGTTAAAACTGTGCAAAGTCACCGTTACTTTAAGAAAATCAAGAGCAGTAAAATTTGTCCACTATGTTTAAATTTCATTGTGTTTGTTGTATGAATACTGTATGTGATTTATACCTGGGTTTTATTAAAATGTTCTCCATAGCAGATCCTTAAAATTAATTTTAAAACTCATAGAGTTTCCAAATATGTGAGCCTGTTACTGCAGTACACAGATCAGCTGGCTCTGGGGTGTAATGATAGCATTTTTAAAATTATAAAATTACCATAAAACATTATATTTAAAGAGCAGCTGCAAAAATATATTCAGATTCTGTTCGTGGGTTAGATAAAGCAACAGGTAAATCATCTTACTGAGGTTTTAAAAGACTTTTTTTCACTTAATTTTTGTGCAATCTGAACTCCATTTTCAAAAAAACTACATTATTTCCACTTTGCTAGTTTACTCAACACAACCTTTCCTTTTTTGTCTTTTTCTGGGGGTTCCCGGAGAGGAACTGAGACAAAAAAAGTGAAAAATTAGATAAAAAGAAGTGAAAAAAAAATAAACAATGAAAGTCTGCCTTTTAGATCTGAACAAACAGGTTAACAGATATTTAGAGTATTTATTATTATTTATTAGAGTATTTAAAAATAGTAAAGTGACAGAGACTACATTCAGAAGTACTGAATATGGATGCAACATATTAAAATGTTAACGAACTATTTAAAACGATTTTAGTTTAGAAAACAAAACTAGTAGTTAAAAACAAGAACTGATGAGCTGACTGGAGGAAGAAGAACCTACTAAGGATCCTGCAGATGCCCATCACGGTCTGGAAGACGGGGTTGGAGAAGCAGGCCTTCAGCCTCACCGTGGTCCCATTGGGCAGACCCAGCCTCAGGGGTTTGTGCTGAGGGATGAAAACCAGCCGGGCGTCAGCGTGGATCCCATATTTCTCCAGAGTCCAGGCTGTTCGCAGCAGCCAGATCTGCTTCTGGTCCCACCACAGTGCATGGTCTGACCAATCACGCTTGATCTCTGTACAGGACACACAAACATAATCAGGTAGTGTCACTTAACAAAATGTCATTTTCTGTAAAGTAAAAGTCAAGTATTTACAACATTTCCTAAATACCTTTACTTTGATGCCTTAAATTGTAATTATACAGAATATAAAAGCTAAATTTGGAAAGTTTTATGGAATAATGCATTATTATGTATTTTTGAGTTTAACTGGATGACTCTGTGGTGCAATTGTAGCGTTTCTGACTCCAGAGCAAATGGTTGTGAGTAGGGATGTCCGATAATATCGGCCTACAAATATTATCGGTCCGATATTAGCATAAAAATGTAAAATCTCTATATATCGGTATCGGTTTTTCTTCTGAAAACAAAAGCCCGATAAATTGTCGCCTGGATTTGACCAAAATGTGTTAATAAATGCTTGTAGTCCAGAGATGTTCATCGGTGCGCGATTGATGACATCATTAAACTGGATTATCTCAGGGAGAGCATGATCCAAACTATATTGTTTGAGACAAAATGTTAAAAATAAACATGGCATATTTCCCCTAACTTCAGTTAAATGCTTTTTTATTTTTGTACCGACAATGTTTACCTACGGAATGCATCCAGTGGGGCATCAAAAAGCAGGCACAACGGGCCTGACAGGAGATATGGGATGTCACCTTAATATCGGTTTGTAACATCGGTTAATATCGGAATTGGAAATTAAATGTTGAACAATATCAGCATACCGAATTTTGGCAAAAAGTCAATATCGAGCATAGTCGTGAGTTTAAAAATCAAACAGGAAATGAAGAATAGAAGCTGACATTTTGTTTAATAGAACATACGTAGGTGAGTGGTGCAGGTTATTGAATATCTTTCAAATGTGTGTTTTATTTTAATTGTAAAACAAATACTGATATTTAGTTGAATTCTATTTCATAAAAACAAAAACAACCGTCAAGTTGAAAAAAAAAAGACATATGACTTATCTTTAAAAAAACAAAACTTAATATTGTGTTTTAAAGAATTTTTTCTCCCATTTATATTTTCCAGGTTTTTTTGTTTTTTTTTTACAAACTAAGCCCAGCATTATTGTATGACCCTGTTGATCTGAAGGTGTGTCCTTCACCAGTGACTCTGTGGTGCAATGGTAGCGCGTCTGACTCCAGATCAGAAGGTTGTGTGTTCGACTCACATCAGGGTCACACCCTGTGTTTCTGCAACTTATTGCTCATTCGTCTTTCCTAGTAAAAAGTTGAGTTGTTGTACAGTTATATCAACAGAACATAAAAAATAAGCTCTCTGTGTTATCCTGATGCATCTCAGTGATCTAGGTAGGAAAAAAAAAAGGTAGGTCTTTTGGGCGGGTTCCTCTTTAATGAAATGTTTCGTCTCTCCAAGAGACTTCTTTAGCCTGAGGAGTTTCAGGTGAACTCAGCCTTACTGCCTCCACATGGTGGACGAACAGGTTTAAAATGGATCATCAACACTGTTGTTCACATGCAAAGGATGACCATCAGCCTAACAATAGATTCTTAGTGCCCTGGTCAATGCCTGTTATTCATGGAGGATCATGTGCACATCAACTGACTATCGTTGGGGCCTTGATTATCACCGATTGCTCACAGGGTGCTGAGTCATACTTGCAATAACAGCATTAGAGGGGGACAACATGACACGGAAACCTCCACCCCGTTTAATGACTGACTCTCTCAAACCAACGTTCCTCTCTATCAAGGATGAGAACATCTTCATCCCTGAAAGAGTGATGACTGGCCTGTAGATGAACTGCAGATGATGTCACTCATCTGTGTTGGGACATTCTTTTGAACAGCGGTTGCTTTGTTTCCCTGATGTATAACTGGTCACAGTCCTCCTGGCATCTGGCGCAATGGTAGCGCGTCTGACTCCAGATCAGAAGGTTGTGTGTTCAAATCACACCAGAGTCAATTTGTTTATCAATGCAGGACCTGAGGACACATTCTAGCTAACATAAACCCGGTATGTATGAGGCACACAAGCTTCAATACAGGGTTGGGAAACTGGTGAGCAGTATCTAGTCCTTTGATTGCGCTTTTTGCATCAGTTTCATGTCATATTGCAAAACGGATTTTGTATTTCTTTGTGAAGACTGACATGTTGAAAATAAAAATGAAACGTAAGGATTGTTTTTGTTTTTACTGTTTGTAATATTTTTCTTTATTACCTACATCACAATCCTTGTCCTTGTCCTGCTTATCAAAATATACAATTTACTGCTCTTAACACTGGGTGAAAAAAATGTTTGTTAAGCAAAATCAAGTACAGCGTTTTGTTGGTTTCGGCCCTCCAACATAGCTCATGTTTCTCATGTGGCCCCAGAAAAAAATAGCTCCCTACCCCTGATCTGAAACCTTATTTCTCCTTTCACAAGTACATCAACACCCCTCCCTTTTTAATGTAACAAACTCTAGTATGTCAGACTGTTAATCTATCATCAATCATCGACTCTGTGCTGAAATGCCAGTCGGTCTGAGTCCTGATCAGTTTTATTCATGTCACATCACTCATTCCTCTGTATGAAGAGAAGCATTTACAACAAAGAAATAATCTACGAATGACAAATTTCCTTACTTTTTAAGTGTAATAAATAATAAAACATAATAGAGAAACTTAATTTATAACGACAAACTAGATTCTGTTGACAATGTGTGAGTCTGCAATGTAAACAAAGTAAGATACAGACAACTTACAGGTGAAAACTGTGAATATGTTGCTGTTCAGAAACTGAAATGTGACTCTGTGGTACAATGGTAGCGTGTCTGACTCCAGATCAGAAGGTTGTGTGTTCAAACCACATCAGGGTCAAACAACTTTAACATATTAACTGAGGAAACTTCTGGAAAACATTTTAGAAAGTGTCAGCAACAAAATCTGTCTGCAGTGAACAGCTGAATGTTCTCCAAGTTCATACAGTATGTGATGTTTGCCTTCCTAAAAGCCTGGCTTAGCTGGATTTATTAAAAACATTTAAAAAGAACAACTTTGTCAGATTACTTGAAACTGAACTGTTACTCTTAACATCAATATGACCACCTGCTGACACTGGAGAGGCAACTTTATTATTTCAAATAAAATTATAATCAAATAAAACTGCATGAAAACTGATCAGACTGACTCCAAATTTGTTTTTTTTTTCCATTAAAAAAATCAGATTTTTTTCTTGGAAAACTAAATTAGAAAAATGACAATTGCAAAAATAAAAGAGGAATCCTTGTAAGAATCCGGGTTACACAAATTGTGCATGGTTCGTTCTTTGATTATACAGTTTCAAAATAAAAACACAAAAAAGGAAATAACAGTTTTGTTTTTCTGTTTTACCTTATTCGTTTTTTTTAGTTTAATTTCGAAACTGAATAACCAAAGAATGAACCATTAACAGATTTAAGCTTGTCGCAGCCTTCTTTTGCATTTGTTGTTTCTCTAATAAAAATGATTGTTTGCTTTTGGTTGTTTTATTTTGAAATGGAAAAACCAAAGAACAAACCATGCATAGTTTAAAAATGGACTCCAGGTGTGTTAACTTGCTGATGAGCACATAGGTGACTCTGTGGTGCAATGTTAGCATGTCCGACTACAGATCAGAAGGTTGTGTGTTCGACTCACATCAGGGTCAGTTAGTTTCTTATCTGAGCTGATGTAAACATCCTCAAAGAAGGTTACTAAACAGGTTCTAACTTGCTTCCTTTCCTTTGCTGTATCTTATCTTTCAATGCATGAAGTATTTTAATCTTGTTTCTCAGTTTCTATTTTCAAGCATTAAAAGCCTCTGACTGACCCTGTGGTGTAATGGAAGTGTATCTGACTCCAGATCAGGTTTGGCCATTCAAGTCACACCCTGAGTTTCTGCAACATCTTGTTGATTCATATTTTTCATTAAAAAAAACTGTGCTGTTGAACAATTATAATGACAGAACGTGAAGAAATGAAGTTCTTTATGTGCATAAAGTTCATCAACTATCATTAGATGTGTCACTTAGTGTTTGGTAGATTATTTCTTTGTTGCAACAATAAATCTTGTAGCGAGCACCTGACTGGCAGCACCTGGGTGAACAAGAAGCTCAAAATAAATGTCATTAGTAACAGCATGATAAGCTGTTTGGCAGAGATTTGTCAATTTCTTCATGTTCGCAACTAGCATTCTCAGCTGTCCTGTTCATCCCACAAATGCATGTTCCTTACAAATGTGGCACCATTTAAAAGGGAAATTAACAGACTTTCCATTGGCATAAGATTAGATTTGTTGCTAAGAAGCATTGGTAGTGCATCTGACTCCAGATCAAAGAACTTAAACAGTTTTTTAAAGAAACGAGACTTAGAGTGACAAATTAGACTTTGTTGAGTCTGCAGACGTGCCGTATGAAAAACTTAGATATAATACATGAGCATACCACTAAATGACTCTGTGGCGCAATGGTAGCGCGTCTGACTCCAGATCAGAAGGTTGTGTGTTCGAACCACATCAGGGTCAGTCTCCCATGTGCTAAAACTGCTACAACCAATGACTGAAAGACAGCTTGAGCTCCAACATAAACAACTGCATCATCTGAAACTTGACATTGTGCAACTATTGATTTCTAATATTAACTTCTAAATATTTTCATTTAACAGTTTTAATTGCCTTTTTAGGTGATCTGAAATGAGCCATAGGTCTTAGTAATCAAGAATCTACACATGCTGATAAATAACAGTATAATGGTAAGTTTTCTCAAATTAGCAAGTCTTACTTGATAAAACACAAACATTTAGTTACCTTTTGTTTTTGTCTGACTTGGTCATGTAACATAAAACAAGACAACTACTGTAAACTCGTAAATCTAGAAATAAAACCTGCAAATACCGACTGAAAACTGAGGGTCTTGTGGCGCAATAGCAGTGCGTCTGACTCCAGATCAGAAGGTTGTGTGTTCAAATCACATCAAGATCAACAACTATTTCTTTCTTTAAATAACTAATTAACCTGCTTCACTCTGGAATTAATGTGAACTCAAATAAAACCATATCATTAAAAACACACCTCTCGTCAATTAATGCATCAGATTCTTGTGTCAGGGTTTGTACAATAACAGGCTCACTTGATTGCAGATACAACAAATTCTGAATACATTTTTTTGTCAGTTATTGAGACGGACAGGGAAATGAATGCAAACAGGGTGACCCACGTGTTTTTTCTACCAGTTTGAGAATAACTCCTCCAATATGAAGGTCCGAGGTTACACTGATGGTGACAGGGGGGGCATCGAGCCCCAGGTCCTCCACCGTGACTGACAGATCCCACACCGCCATGCTGGTGGGAAAACAGGAAGAGAGCGTGAGGAAAGCACCTCAGGAGACGGCTCTGACAGAGTCAAGATGACAGGAGAAATTAAAGCAAAAAATCAGAACCATAAAAACAAATAATTGAAGTGGCATCGATCTAATCACCAAAGCACAACTCAGTACATAAAAGCTTGTTTCTGCTGCTGCAGGAGTGTAACGCAAGGTTTTCCATGCAATGTAACAAAAAAGTTGAGTTATAGATGCAGCTACGTGGAGAAAAATCTGAAATAAACCCCAGAATATTTCAAAATAAAACAGAAAGAGAACCAAAGCATGACTTGCCAATCAATAAGTGTGACAAAAGTTTTAATTTAGGTGTCAATATCATGTGATAATGAGTAACACAAAGACACACATCCACTGAATAGCGTGCCCATTTTGAAGAATCCTTCCTGTTTCTGACAAGAAATATCACCATGGACGCACACTTCCGCTTTCTAACCCAACCTAGGCATGTTGTTCATTCGAGGCTAAAACAATCCCCTCCTTCTTGTATTTTAAAATATAAAGCCACTTTTAAAAAATGTACTTCAGTAATTAAAACGTGCCTTTTTCCATTCATTAGACATTCTCAAAGACTAAGTTAAGGAAAGGTAATGTTAAAATAAAATGTTTGAACCTATTTACAATTTTCTGGAGGCCTAAATTTGATGTTTTAGACATAAAAATATACCAGTGTTCAGTTTATTGTTCTATATTACATTATATGTGAGTGGAGAGAAGTTTTTAAAGCTGTGTTTTATCCAGAAGCCCTATACGAATACTGAGTTCTATCATTCTCTCTATTATTCTGTTTTCTATGTCATTATCATGCACAAAGTTTGAAAGACAATACCGTCAGTCTCCTCTATCCAAGATCTGAGAATCAGTCCAGTGGTTGGAGAAATGGAAACAGCAGGACTTCTGTGGCTCTGTCAGATGTCTCCAAAAGGTTCCCCTGCTCTTTCTGTGAGAACGTGCAGCAGTTTCACCTCTCAGGTTGTGATCTATGTTGCAGGGCCTCCCTTTGCTGCTTGAGTCACCCTTGTCAAAATGGCTTGTTCCTTTTTTTTTTGTCAGTTTCCGCCAGGCGGAAATGTGAAAAGAGTTCAACGAATGACAGACAGGCTGTGCTAGAGAAAGATATAGGGCAATGTGGGTGTGCATGTTTATTAAAAATATGTCCTTTTGTGGAGTGCATCAGCCTGCAAATGAAAATGTAGCTCTATGCACAATGACAACTAATAATTTGACCCATGTAAAACACAATACTTATGCGTAAAATGCTATTGAGACCGGGCATTTTTTAACACTCAGATGCACAGACATTTGATTATACGAGTAAATGCATTATCTAAATTAAATGTATTGAGTATAGTATATAGTAAACAAACTATATACTGTATATATAGTGCATTTAATATATATATTCTCACCCACCCAGGGGATTGAGGGGTGGGTGCGAAAATGTATCTGATACGTATAATCTAAAAATGCAGCCTATTTGTAATTAGTTCCCAACAATGTCACCTTTGTGACAATCAAATTTTTGATAATTATTGGTAGAAACATCACACCACAAACTTATTGCAACGAGTTGGTGGTTAAAGCTGTTTGTAATAAAAACACTATTGGTCCTAAGTCCAACGCACGAATTGTGCAACTTCCTGAAACCACCCAAATCATTTTTTAAATCATTGTTTACCTTGTATTGATCAACGTGTGTGTTGTAAACATGTCATTTCCAACAGTCATGAAGGCAACAACATTGAGCTGTATTGCGCGAGGCCTCGACTCTTCTATTTTATTAGGTTAGTCGGAGAATGTGTTATGTGAATATTAGGCTACAATGATGTGTGTGATATTTTATTTTTTTAGTTTAGGATTCATGGTGTATTATCAACTGTAGAAACTGAAGTAAGTAATATATATTTTGTAAATTATGTGGCGACAGTCAACCCTGTTCACCAGGAAAGAATGGTACGTTCCGTCTGTCACCGCCGACGCTGTCCAAAACAAAAATGGCCGCGAGAGGCGTGTATTCGTATCGAAAGTGAAAGTTAATGGTTGTGTGTTGTTGCTACAACTCTACGGTTGTTATTTCAGACATGGCACTTCAAATATCAGCTCGAGTTTCGCATGTCAGAACCCTGCTGTGCACCGCCGGCTCTCTGTCCGGCGGTGTCCGTGGCGACTTCCTCCAGAAAGCTGGCGTCAAGTTGAAGCACTTTCTAACTCGGGGCAGCCCCCAGCAGCAGGTCGGAGGGACGCCAGTAAAGAGCCCTGTCCGCGGCTACATGAGCGCTGCAACCCGAGCTGACAGGCTGTCAGCGTCTACAGCGACAGCAGCTCTTCGGAGATTTAGCCAGGCTAACGGGTCCCCCTCCTTGCCCCGAGGTGGGACGGGCTGGCTGGGAAAGTTTGCCCTTGGTGCCGCGCTGGGAGTGGGCACAGCCGCTCTGGTCCGGTCCCTCCACACCGGAATCATCACCGCCATGTCGGTTAAAAGCAACCTGGACTCTGCTGAGGGAAACTGGAAGGAAACCAAGGGTGAGCGTATTCACAAAGCTCATATAATTTTATAAACCCATAACTGTCTGGGGACTTTGCGAGTAAATGAGGATGACCTTTGACCTGGTGCCTGCCTGAGGCTGTGAACTGAAGGTTCAAAACGTTTTAACACTAGTATGTAAACACAGCACTGTGTGGTTATACTTTGATTCTAAGGAGCTCTACTTTGTGGGTCTTTTAAAAGTGGTTCAGATAATCAAGTTTTATTTTATGTCTTTCAACAATTTTTGTGACTTTGATTTTTTCCCCACTCATTTTCTGTTCAGTACAAGTGCAGTTTGTGGAGGAAAGTGGACAAGTGGAGGCCAAAATAAGAACTGGAAAACAAGACTATCCACAGCACAAGAACAATCTCTGAAATAAAGCTGCTCAGGAAATCTCAAATTGATCATTATCCAATTATTTAATTATTTATTTGCTGGTATTTAACCAAGCAAGTCCCGATCTCTTTTTCAAGGGAGGCCTGGGCCTGAAGGCAACCTGTTGTACGTTTTTTTTTGGGTTTGGGGAAACCGGAGTACCGGGAGAAAACCCACGCAAGCACGAGGAGAACGTGCAAACTCTGCACAAAGAAAATACAAGTTTACATAATATCAATATGGATAAATCGTAGACTTTTATGTTTCAGATATTGTTCATTAATAATATATCTGCTCAATCTTAAAGTTTCTTTTGATGCCCACACCTGGTTTAAATCACTGGTTCTCTAAAAACATTTGAATCATACAAATTTTACCGGCAACCAGAAACAATAGAAAGCTAGTTCAGTTTTTACATTTATAGTTTTTTTGTTGGAATTTTACAATTTTAACTTTTTAAATTTGTACTTAAGACATTTGTTTGTAAATGTTTNCATAGTTTGCAGATTTTGATTTCATTTAGTTGAATCCTGCATGTTTTTCTCTCAGACTTCTTGTTGTCTCTGCCCGTGGAGGACCGGCGACGGTATTACAGAACCTCAGGCTCAGTGTCTCTGGATGACCTTCCTGTGTGGACCCCCACTGCAGGTCAGACACCAAACACCAGCCACACCAACCAGGGTGGAGTAGTAACAGTGGTACTGAGGTTTTTATTTAAAAAATGTCAAGTACTTTTTTTAGATATCAGACTCATCATGTCTAATAAATAAAAAAAAACACCTGTGGTACAACTATTTTATTTATAAAGCACTTCAAAAACAAACACAACTGCAACAAAGTGCTGCACAAGTACAATCAAGAATATTTAAAATATAAATCACGGAATAAAACCAGTTAAAGCAGAGAGTAAAACAAAAGTTAAATAAACAAGCGCAGCAAAAGGAATAATAAAAAAAAGGCGTTTTAAAAATGGTGCAACACAATATTTTGTCCTGTCTGAGTTTCTGTTTAAATCAAATAAAAGAATCTTGAAATGAGCTCTAAAATGCACAGAAAGTGGAGGAACTCCATTAAAAGCTGAGCAGCAGCGTTCTGGATCGACTGCAGACCGTTGATGGAGGACAGGCTGACTCTGAAATAAAGAGTTCAGAGTCAAACCGAGATGTGATGAATGCATGAATTACTGTTTCAAAAACAGCTGCCTGAAATGATAAAAACTGGACTTGACCTCTGCTCTAGCAAACCAGTTTAAAATCCCTGTCCATTTTAAAACCCAAATTAGAAACTAAAGGCTTTATGTGCAGTACAAGGGATTATTTTAAAGGCGGGGTATTTTCCAGGCGCATAGTTTAATTCTATACCACAATCAAGTAACTATGTTACCTTTGTTATAAAAATGCTGTATATATCAAAAATAAATTTGACTAGTTTGCATAATAATCTATCTAAATGCCTTGAATTGGCTTCTGTCTCTTTAAGAACCTCCTACCGTTTCTGACACTCCCACTTCAACACGTCTTCACAACAATGCTTTGGGGGAGGGGTGCTCTGTGAGGTGGGAGTTCAGTTGCGGACTGAGCTCCAGGGAGGAGCTTTGTGTAACTAGGCGGAGCTTTGTACCAGCAAGTGTAAAGGTAGCTCCACATGGCTACCACAGGAGATTCAGGGATTTCTCAAATATGAAGGAGTCAAAGCAACACTCAGTTTTTGATGAGGGAATGACATTATAACATGATATAAAGCTCCAAAAAGTTGATTTTACACAAAACATAAAACCTTTTAAGAGTTGAAGCAAGACTGGAAAAAAAAACCTCAGCAATTTATGTAAATTTTTTAGTCTATATATTTGATTAGCTGAATTTATTTTATTCAAATACGGTTCATATTTATTAAGCAAACAAAAAGCACAATATGAACTAAATAAATTTTAGATTTAAGACATTCATGAGAGAGTCATTTAGTTTGCTATTGCTTTTTTGAAATTATTACTTTAAAGTAAACATAGCATTTTATTAATTTAGGCATTTATTTTCACAGAGAAGTCAGTTGAGAATCAATTCTAATTTAAAATGAGGACCTGGTCAAGTGGCAGCAGCAACACAACAAGATGTCCTAGATCAATGGTAAAAACGAAAGCAAGACCTAAAACACAATACAACAATAAAAACAATGGAGTAAAAAATATAAAATACACAGTCAGGACCCTACAATAGTTGAACTCTGTTGTTGAATATATATCTGAATATTTCTGGTGATGTTTGTGCCTCGCCATCAGGACGTTCTGAGCCGATCCGCTACCAGAGGAATGAAAAGTTAGACCTGAAGATTTCTGTGTTCAGTGGCGACATCACCAAGCTGGAGATTGATGCTATTGTCAATGCAGGTAAGTTAGATTTTGTTTATCTTTTTTATGTTTTGACTGGATTATTGAGTGCAATAAGTCATCCAGCATGGTCTTAAATGACAATTCAGTTAAATAAATTACAAACTTAATTTTGCTTTATTCCACTTTTTCTCACAAAAAAAAAACTGTCAGAAGACCAAAGGGTGAGAGAGTAATTCATGTACAAGAATAACGTGGAGACGAGCCAACCAGAAGGGAAATTTGTTAAAGGATTATAAATTTAAAAGCTTAAAGTGGTCTCCAGCTTGTTTTTGTGCATATGCATAAATTTAGCCCTAAACACCTGTGAGCGCTTGTCTGAGCTGTGATTATGTGTATTATGTTTTCTCAGTGTGGGACGGCCACAGGCTCTCCTGTGATTGCTAACACACTGTGATGTATTCTTTTCACAAATTTACCTGCAGTGCAAAAAAATAAAAAAATAAAAAAAAGGGGAGAACAAGAGAATGGCGGGGAATTATTGTTACTGCTTAGTAGCTACCAGCAAACCTCAAAAGTAGACAAAGAAACACAAAGGCAGGGGTGACATTTATGGGATGCTAAAAGCATTTTTGAACAACCTGATCAGAAATAATGCCAAATTCAAACTGGTTTCACTCTGAAAACTCTCTCAATTGCTTAGATTAAAGAAGGCGTGCACCTGTTGTTCAAGATAACATAATTTTTTAAAAGTCTTTATGAAATGTATTTTTAATTGTTCAGAACACAGCAGAAGAACCCTCTTTCTTGGCCTTCTTCTTTAGCTGTTATAAGATGATTTTAAGATGTGTTGAGAAACCTGAGTGTAAATATTGTCCAAATTTACTGTAGCCTGCTGACACAAAGCTAAACAACTAATTCAAAAACACATGCAGCTCAAGAAGGAAGCAGGCAGAGGGAGATGTTTGAATAATTTTTGTGACTTGGACTCCAAACTAAAAAGACAAGCTGCTATGACAGAAAGTGGTAAATTATGCTGTTCTTTTGCATCTTTTTAGTACTTTGACTAAATGCAGTACATATTTGTACCACGTACCACCAATGGTGGGCACAGTTAACCTAAAAGTTACCCCCCTCGAACACACAATCCCCAAACTAAAAAAAAAAAATACAATAATAATAATTATACATCAAACTTATATAGGGCTTTTTAGGATACTCAAAGATGCTTTCCAAGAGGGAGAAAAGTCAGGATGGGAAAGCCTGACTAAATAAGTGAGTTTTGAGTAGTGATCTGCAGAGAGGTAGGGAGTTAAAAATGTAGCTTCACTAACGCTAAACGTGTAAAAAGTTCTAAAATCTTTCTTTTGTTACTAGACATCAAGTTATTTAATGTCTCTTCAGGCATACCTGACATGTTTCAACATTTTACTTACGTCTGTGACACCTCTGATGAAGACGGAAAATAACTGTGTCTAGTAACAAAAAGATTTTAGGATTTATTAAATCTATAGACGCAATGAACTTCATTACATTCATACAAGCTAATACTGACTACTAATCGCTAGGAGAACTACTGATAAACAAGTGATAATTATTGGAAGCTAACTTTACATAAGTAAAAATTTGCAGATTATGCAAAAAAAGTAAAAATTAGCTGAAACTATTACTAAATAAGTAACGATTAATGGAAGCTAATGCTAAACAAGCAAATCTTTGCTGAAGCTAACAGCTAATTGCTAACTGCTAAGATGACTGCCACTCAGTCTGTGTCACATGTCTTCATCTCCCTCCAGTTTCAGGCTGGTGGGACTGACACAAACCTGTTGATGCTAGTTTGTTAGTTAGCTGGTAGCAGAATTAAAGTTGGCAAAACATAATTTACCAGAAGCTAGTTGGTCTGCTAACAGGTTTCAAAGATTATGAAAAATTAGTTCCGCTGTTAGCTTATTAGTTGAACCATGTCCACCACTAGTTACCGCTATTTCAAATGGGTGTAGTCATGTTTGTCTGTTAGCAAAATATCTCTTGAACCATTAAATGGATTTTATTTTATTGCTGAGAAAGTAATTTTTGGTTGTACGTTTATAAATGAACAACATTTGGAGCCAACAAATTCAAGATGACTACCACAACTATTTGACCTGAGCCAACACAAAAATGGCTACAATTCTGTCAGTTTTAAAGATACTGAGCTAAAGGTTAGTGTAGTATTAGCTGAGAGTCACACACATCACACACTATGAGGACTAACATATTGTGTGATAGTTTTGTCATCAGCCTGCTTGGACTGCGTATGGAAATTAGCCTGTACTGATAAATCTGACATGTTTAGTAGTAATGATTGATTGTTGTGGTTTTCTCCTGTTTTAAATAAATAAATATAAACGTTGGCAACTAAGGTGGTGGTTGATATGTATTTCTTCAAGGAATATTGGTCAAATTCACTTAAAAGATGATCTCAACTTGTGGAAAAAAAAGCATGTCGCCATAATAAATCTACTTTTAACCATTGTTGTAAACAAAAGCTCCTAATGACAGGATGGGGATTTTTTTTGGTGTATCTTTTGACATGTTTTGGCTATAGATGTTTTTGTAGGCTAATTTTGAACATACAAAATGTAGTTTGCTGATCCATTAGGTTCTTTGTTGAAACCTTTAGATGGCGCCAAACGTCAGTTTTTTGAAACAGGATCTTTTCAAACAAAACAGTTTTTGCATTTGGGGGAAATTTAATCTGTGTTTTGGCACAGAACGTTGCATGAGGGAGGAGTGAGGGGAGCCAGTGTGCATAAATTATGCTCGATGATGAGGCTGTAGCTGAAAATGATTGATCTTTATTGGCAGCTGACTGTCAGCAAGTGACTTCGGTGCCAACGTCCAATAAATATGATGATGGTTGACTCTCATTTGTAGAATAATTGCTTGTTTTTGCGTGTACCTGCACTGACACATGCACCTGCCTACAAATATTTAAGTAATTATGTGTGTTTATGCAGGAGGTAACTGTCTGTGTTTGTCTGGGGGATGTTTGTATAAGGATGTTTGTTTTACAGGAGCTTTTACAGAGTTGCAGGATGCACAGTAGCGTGGCGTTAACAAGAGGGAACTGCTAGTAAAGTGTCATTTTGCAAAGAGGACGAGGCAAGGTGAGGGCCGCGGGGAGATGGAAAGGAAAAAAAAAACCTCTCACAAACACCAGAGGAGACATGACGGAGAGACAGAGCGTGAGAGAGTCAGAACTGACAAAAAGCAAGAGAGAGGAGTCAGGAAAAGTGGGTAGAGGAAGATAAGAAGGAGGCAGGGAGAGGCTAGTATTTAAATCTCAGTCTAGATTGCCATGGCAACAAGCAGGTACAGGTTAGCCTCAAAAGAGCTTTGGGCAGTCGAGTCTGATCATCCTTTTTCTGTCTGACTGACTGGCTGTCCAGCTGACTGTCTCTCTAGTTGTTTTGTTGACCGAGCGAGTGACCTTCTCCTCCATGACTAACTGACTGACTGTGAAGCTTTAGGAGACGGTTAAAAGCAACACCACGTTGAAACGAGAGGGAGCAGAGATAAAGCCGGTGTATCTTTCAAAGCATTCGTGTAGGAAATAAACTTCCTTTCATTCGCCTTTTTTTTTGCAACTTTTCCAGCCTCAGAAAAGCCTCCAAGACAGTTCCTTTGGTTTTTGACATGCGGAGAGGGGTGTTGTGGATTCTCTCTCGCTGCTCTGAAAGGCCTTGAAGCATCATTTAGCCCCTAAGGCGGCAAACATTCAATGGAAGCCAACTGTGGCCAATTATACGCAATACTGACAGACTGGTGGGCTGGCTGGGAGGTGGGGGGCAGCTTCCAGGCTCAACTAGTGGAGAGAAATTGGAAGAACCTGCGGTAAATAAATAGTTGGATGGGAAACCGATTCGGACGAAAGGTCACGAAGAACCAATGACCCAACAGGTGCAAACTTTGTTATCCTTCCCCTCGTCCCTTCTGCTCGTCTCCACCACTGATCAGGTGCAGGGCGTCGCGGGGAGGCGGGCCCAACACTGTTTGTCGTTTGTGTCTCTCTCAATAAAGCCTGGATTTACAGTAACTCTCAGCTCCTCCCCCTCCCTCCCCCTCTACCTCATTCCACACTTTTACAGCCCCTGGCTTCTGCCCACTCCTATAAAACACTACAAACATAAAAACCCACAAGCACTTAAGAGCTGTCCTGGTAAGAAGGGGGTGGAGGGGGTGCACATGAAGGAGGGGGGGAGGAGACAGTGGGCAGAAACATCCTCCTCTTTACACCCCTCAATCACTCCGTCTGGAGGAGGAGAGGGAGATGGAGGGGAGGATTTATTGTCTCTGATGGGCTAGCTGATTAAGATGGATTGCGCAATGAAACGTCGTTGCAGGGATGAGTTCTTGGAGGGTGTGCCGTATTTTGTGTGTGTGTGTGTGCGCGTGTGTGTGTGCGTGCGTGGACAGGATGTTCCGACGGCTAACTCCGCATTAAAACCTTTTCTCCAATTGATTAAATGCAAATTTGCTTCGCTCTACTGAGTCACAACATTTTTATTCCTCATTTAAAACTGGTGCTTTCTTGTAGCCACCGTTTATTTGACCTTTTTTATTTAACTAAAAATGAAAAAAATAATTAAACACTGTTCTACCAAGTTCACTCCACAGTTAGATGTGAGGTTCTGTTTTTGATAGATCTGTCAGGCTTTTGTAATAGAATAAAAACACTTCTAATCCTGGTTTCTTTGTGTTTCTCGTGCACACCTGCGCCTTTTTTATGCCAGAAACAAGCGGTGCATGTAAGCCTGAAACCATGCAGCGTGTGTGTGGTGACTTCTGGCAAAGTTGTGCACGTTTTTTTTTTTTTTTGCAGTTTTTTTTCTATGCAGGTGGTGTGTGTGTGCAGGAGATAGGGTCTCCCCTCTGCTGGTCAGAGATAAAGCTGTTGGTCGGTGCTGGGAACCCTCTCACCGTGGCAACAGCCGAGAGATACAAGATTAGAGCCAATAGTTTCCCCTGGACTGCAGGTGACAGACAGGATGAGAGCGTGTGCGAGCTGCGCCGTAACC